CTTGATCTTCTGGATACTTACAAAGAGAATTTTCATAGCTCTTCATTTATCTGGCCTACCCTGTGTAAAGTGCATTTAAAACAAACTACAATGCACATTTAGATAAAATTTGAGCAACAAATTTGAAACAAATTCCTGTTCCAAATTTCACATATTTTTGTTATACAATTTGCTCTTAAGTTGTAAGGAATTCTACAGAAGCTTTTTTTTAAAAGATATAAATTAGGGGAAGAACTTTCACAAGTTTATGTATATATTTTAGAAATCACAGGCATGACAATAATTTCCTTGGAAAAAAGGTTTATAATATTTCAAATACATTTTTAGAATACAGTGATATACATTACAAAACCTTTAAATTTAGAAAGTTTTCAACTGTCTAGATATCAAAAGAATCCCATTTCTAGTATAAATATGAACCACTTCAGTATTGTAACAAAATTGAAATTTACCCGTATACTAACATTGAAAAATGAGATAAACATTATAAAGTCTACCTAGACAATGTCAACAATGACCTTGATGGACATTTACATATTTTTATGTTTTTAAGTTACATGATGTATCCTATTTTAATAACATGGTTTATATATTAAAAGCTTAGAATTTGGCCACACGTTGATGGCTCACACCTATAATCCTAGCTGCTCAGAAGGCTGAGCTCAGATCTCAGCCTTGGTACAAAGATCATGGTACAAGCCAGCTCAAGTCCATGTGACCCTTATCTTCAATTAACCACCAAAAGTCTGGAAGTGGAGTTGTAGCTCAAGTGGTAGAGCACCAATGTTTAGCGAAAAAACTCAGAACAGTATCCAGGCCGGGACCAGTACGTACACACACACACACACACACACCAGCAGCAGCAGCAGCAGCAGCCAGCAGCAAAAGGGACTTGGAGGGAGCTCTGTGTTCATTCTAGAACCGTCTAAACCAACAGGCCCTGAGACTAGTACACACACATACACACACACACACACACACACACACACACGTGCGCGCACCCCAGCAGCAGCAAAAGGGACTTGGAAGGAGCTCTGTGTTCATTCTAGAACCGTCTAAACCAACAGGCATTTATTTCTATCTCTTGTGAAAACTGGAACAGGGGAAATGTCTCAGTGAATAAATAAGTTACAATTAAAAAAGATTTCTTCTGGTGTAAATTAGAGAAGACAATACCACCCACTATACAGAAAGGTGCATAACAAAAAATGGGTGCCAATTGTTTTGCGTGACTAAGTGAAATTATTTCAGAAACCTGCTAGTAGGACATTAATTTATATTTTGTACAAATGTCAAATAGAATCCAATATTTGGCTTTGTTTTAATTATAGCCGTATTTCATAAAAAAAACTATTAAGGGTTTATATCATGTTTATTTGCAAGAGTAAAAGCTGTCTCAGCACTGTAGGTAGTCATTATAAGAAATGTTAACTTTTGAAAGAAAAGCATTTGATTATGAAAAGATTTGTAATTTTTAATAGCATTTTTATTATATTAGAAATATTACTATTTCTCTCAGGAAACTTTAAACAACTTAAGGATAGAATATGTCATAGTTTAGCCTTTTTTCCTTTTCATAATGCTGAGATTGAATCCTGGGTTTTAATGCATGTGAAGCACAAACTCTATAAATGAACTGTATTTCCAGTCCAATAGGCATCTTTTACATTAAGTTCCTAGCCTCTGGCAGTTAGCTTTTTCG